GTCTCTCCCCAACCCCAAGGACAGTCCCATTCTACAACAGTGGCATCATGTAATATTTGTCCTTTTGTGACTGGGATATTTCACTCAGCATAATGTTCTCCAGAGTCAACCATTTTGAATAATATTGCATGAGTTCCTTGGTTTTTAATGCAGCATAGTATTCCATTGTGCGAATATACCACAGCTTCTCTAGCCATTCGTTTGTTGATGGGCACTTAGGTTGTTTCCAACTCCTTGCTATTGTGAACAAAGCTGCAATAAACATGGGTGTGCATATATCTGCTTGGATGTCAGCTATGGTCTCTTCAGGGTATATTCCCAGTAGTGGAATTGCTGGGTCAAATGGTATCTCTATTTGCAACTTTTTGAGAAAGCGCCATACTGCTTTCCACAGGGGTTGCACCATTTTACACTCCCACCAACAGTGAATCAGGGTTCCAGTTTCTCCACAACCTCGCCAGCATTTGTTGCTTGCTGTTCTGTTAAATTTTGCTATTTTGACTGGGGTGAAATGATATCTCATAGTTGTTTTAATTTGCATCTCTCTTAGGGCTAGGGATTTTGAGCATTTCTTCATGTGTTTGTTAGCCATCTGAATGTCGTCTTCGGCCATGACCTCTTCTAAATCCAGCTTGAACTTCTGACAGTTCTTAGTCTATGTACTGTTCTAACCACTTTTGAATGATCTTCAGCAGTATTTTGATCACATGTGATAATGATAATATAGTTTGATAAGTTCCACAGTCTGTTGCATCACTTTTCCTAGGAATGAGAACAAAATGTATTTCAGTCAGTTGATCAGGCAACTCTTCTCTAAATTTCCAGGCATAGAGTGGTGAACATATCTAGGTTGCATTTATTAGTTGAAATATGTCAATCAGTAGCCCTTATTATTATTTCCATTTTACAAATGGGGAAACTAATACTCAGAGAGATGAAGTATCTGGTCACAAACTAGGCCAGAAATGTGAGGGTTTAACACTTTCTAAAAAGGCCACCTTTGAGTTGAAGCCTGAAGGACAAGAAGGAACCTGTTTTCTCCTCTGCAAAAGAGAGCTAATAAAGCACCACCTTCAAAGAATTTTCCTAAAGAAGATATCAGTGGTACAGTACATGTAGAGGATACACCGAAGGAACTACCACACAGTATATGATCAATTAATATGATCTATTGATGTTGGGTATTTACTGTACATCTGGGGCTTTGTCAAATGGTTGTCTCTGATGACTTGGTAGTCTGTCCTACCTATTTCATGGACATTGTTGACCTTAACATACTGTTTTTCAGTATCTTCTGGGAAGTCATTCATTCTAGGCATTTTTTAAAAAATTTATTTTCTAAATTTTCTAAAAGGGCAGTAACACAGTTTACCTACTAACAGAGACAGCTTCCCAAAGGCACTCGGTTCAAGTCCACCAGCTTTTCTGTGGGAAAAGGTTGAGCAATCTCCTCCCATGTGATTTACTGCCTCTGAAAACCTTCCAGAGGATCAGCTATGGGTTGGTTCTGACTCTACGGTACACAACAACAACAACAACAACAACAACTGCAAAATGAATGGAAACCTTTCTACAAAACATAATTGGTTCATTTCTTACCTACAGTGTATTTTGTTCTATAATCTAGGAATTAATTTTTAAATACTATGTACCAAGGTGGAAATTTCTCAAGTGACTGAGTATATCCTCACCTGTAACTAATTTAATGTTAACATGAATATATTTTTATATTTTGTTGTTGTTGTTATGTGTTGCTGATTCAACTAAAACTCATTGTGACCTTATGAACAACTTATTGGGACCTTGCCCTATCCTGTCGCATCCTCATGATGCTGCTACAATCCATTGTTAGATTGTGTCAATCTATTTTGTTGGAGGTTTATATATTGTTAATTGCCATCAAGTTAAGTACAACTCAGAGCGACTCCACAAACAACAGATCTGAACCCTGTCCTATCCTGTAACATCTTCATCATCTTTGACACATTTGAACCCATTGCTGCAGTCACTGTGTCAGTTCATCTCATTAAGCACCTTCCTCTCTTTCAGTGACCTTTCCAAGTATGATGTCTCTCTCTAAGGAATTAGAAACATGCCTTTCCTACAGACATAACCAAAGTATGTGAGAGGAAACTTTGTCATTCTTGCCTCTAAGGAGCATTCTGGCTGCACTTTTTCCAAGATATATCTTTGTTATTTTGGCAGCAAATTGGATACTCAATACTCTTCTCCAACATCACCACTCAAAGGCATAAATTCTTCTTCTGTCATCGCTACTGCCCAATTTTCAGATGCATAGCACATGATTAAAAGACCATGGCCTGAATCAGATGCACCTTAGTTTTCAAATTGTCCTCATTGTTCCTTAGTAATTTGGAGAGATCATGACAAGATACTTGTCCAATGCAATGTATGTGTCTACAGATCTCCTGACTGCTGGTATCAAGGGTGTTGACCTAAGTATGATGAAATAGTTGACAATTTTAATCTTCTCTCCATCTATCATGATTTTGCTTAATGGTCTAGTGGTGAGTATTTTTGTCTTCTTGATTTTGAGATGAAATCCATATTAAAGGCTATAGTCTGATCTTCTACAGCAAGCTTTTAAATTCCTTCTCACTTTCAGCAAGCAAGATTGTGTCATTGTTGTGTGACACGGAGTCAGAACCCCATAGAGTCTTTCTCCCGTGGAGCAGCTGGTGCTTTTGGGATTACAACACAGCTTCTTACCACAAGGCCACCAGAGCTCCCTTCTGTCATAGTAATATATTAGTTAGATAATTGTATTATTACAATTAATTATATAATATCATATTAATACAGGGAGCTCTGATGGGATAGTCCTTGAAGAGTTGCACTACAAATCCAAAGGTTTGAGTCCATCAGTGACTTTGAGGGAGAAGGATGAGCAATCTCCCGATTCATTTAAAGCCTTGAAAATGCAGAGGAAGGTGTGTTATGAGTTAGTTCTGACTTAATGGTAATGAGTTAGATTAATGTATACTATTTTAAATTACAAAAAAATGTTTGGAACAATATGTCAACAGAGAACTGCCAGATGTGCAGGCTGGATTTAGAAGAGGTCGTGGTACTAGGGATATTATAGCTAGTGTTAGATGGATCTTGACAGAAAGCAGAGAATACCAGAAGAATGTCTATCTGTGCTTCATTGACTATGCAAAGGCTTTTGACTGTGTGGATCACAGCAAGCTATGGCTGACTCTGAGAAGAATGGGAATCTCAGAACATTTGATTGTGCTAATGCGAAACCTATACTTGGACCAAGAGGCAGTCGTCAGAACAGAGCAAGGAGACACTACATGGTTCAAAATCAAGAAGGGGTCGGTCCATCAGGGATGCATTCTGTCTCCATACCTTTTCAATCTGTATGCAGAACAGATCATCCAAGAAGCTGGGCTGTACAAAGAGGAATGTGGCATCAGGATTGGTAGAAGAGTCATCAACAACCTGCGTTATGCGGATGACACAACCCTGCTTGCTGAAACTGAGGAGGACCTGAAGCGCTTGCTGCAGAAGGTCAATATGGATTGAAACTCAACATCAAGAAAACAAAGATTCTCACCACTGGGCCAATTGGCAGCATCAGTATGGATGGTGAAGCGATTGAGATAGTTAACAGTTTTAGTTTGCTTGGCTCCACAGTCAACACTCTTGGTACCAGCAGCCAGGAAATCAAGAGACGAATTGCATTGGGAAAGTCAGCTGTGAGGGACCTCTCAAGAGTACTGAAGAGCAACAACGTCAGGCTGGAGACTAAGGTGCACCTGATCCGGGCTATAGTCTTCACAATTACGTGCCATGCATCAGAGAGTTGGACAGTGAATAGGGATGATAGAAAGAGAATTGATGCCTTTGAGCTGTGGTGCTGGAGAAGAGTGTTGAATATACCACGGACTGCTAGGAGAACAAACAGGTTTGTCCCAGAGAAGGTGAAGCCGGAATGCTCCCTGGAGTCAAGGATTCTGAAGCTTTGTCTGACATACTTTGGGCATGTTGCAAGGAGATGTTCCTTGGAGAGGTACATCAGGTTTGGCAGAGTGGAGGGACGGTGCAGGAGAGGAAGACATCCATGAGATGGATCGATTCTGTGACTGCAGTGGTGGGAATGAGTGTGTTTGAGACGTTGAGGTTGGCACAGGATAGAACGGCGTTTCAGGGCTCTTGTACATAGGGTCGCTATGAGTCGCAAGCGACTTGATGGCACATAACAATAAAGTCAAGGCAGCCCAGGTTCATGAGTACTTTAGTAGAGGGAAATGTGAGTGGGGCTTCACACCCTCTATGACTGCAGCACCATCTTTCATTATTTTTTAAGAGGGAGGCGTGGCCATATTGTGTTAGCAATCCTTTCGGTTGGGTAAATCTGTCTTCAGTGAATAATTAATAAAATCGGCTGGGATCTTTCTGATCTCTTTGGGTTTCGAGGTCGAACTGCTGCTGCAGCAGTATTCATTATTTATGAGCTGTAAAAGTAGATTTTTCTCCGCAGTAAGTAGCCTTATTAGATGCCTGCATTAGATGCAAGGATAGGCAGATCTGTCACTTTTCTTCCAGCCCACTGGCCTTTGTACATTATTCATGAATAAGATGTGGCTTTGGTCTCCTTGGCTTCCGGGCTGCTGCAGGATTATTCATGAACAGTGGGGCGTGACTTCCATGTTTAACATTTGCTTTCTGGTTACACAATGTTAGCCAACCAACTAACCAGCATCATACTTAGTTCATGATCAAGAGGCGTGATCTTAAACTCCTTTCTTGGTTCTCAAGGTATCATGGTTACAGCAACTAATTCTTTAGTCATTTTTCTTAAGACATAACCTCTGCAGTTTTACCTATTTTCTTAGTTAATGCCACAACAACCAGCAGATGGAGCTGTTTCTCCTTCCGACAGTTTTGAAAAGCTGGGACTATTATACAAGATGCATGAGTGGGTGCGGGCCTCTAGCATCCGGGTTCCTGGGGGTGGGGCCCAAGGTTTTGTTCCGGCCTCGGGCTCTTCGGCCGCCATCTTGTGTTGGCGGCTGAGGTGAAGGAGGAAGCAGGGTCTTTAATAACCGCAGCAGCCTGAGGAGGAGAAGGCGGCGGCGATTCTAGACGGCCCAGACAACGGGAAGAAGGAGGGCGGCGGCTGGGCTTGGTTTCGGCTCCTTGAGGCGTTGGCGGCGGCGCGACCCGGGGAACCGGCATTGGTAACTTAACAGTCTCGCTAGGGACGGGTTTCGGGTGATACTGGAGCAGTTTTTGGGAGGCACCAGGCTGTACCGATTCGGGGATGGACTACAGTAATGTACACGCTTGAAATCTTCTGAGGTGAGGGGGAGAGAGTTGCAGATCCTGGGGCAGAGCCGACATTTTCCTTCCAGGATCTTTCTCTTCGAGCTCAGAAATCTGACCTTGAGTCCAGACCACCAAATCTACTTTTTAGAGACTTAGGCCCAATATTCTTGTTCAGGAACCTGCAAGGGATTCCAGGACTATTGCATCCCAGACCAGAACTCTCTCCAGTCACTAATACTAGGCTCGGCATTTTTGAGCTTAGTTCATCTACAACATGTGCTGTTAAAGACCGAACAGCTTTGAAGAGAGGTCAGATCTCAAGGAGGGTGTGTCTCATATATGTGGTTGTGTACCGTAGAGTCGGAACTATATCTGACCGTCTGGTGGGTTCTCAGAGGCAGTTAATCATACGGGAGGAGATGGCCCATCCTTCTCCCGCGGAGCAGCTGCTGTCCTCGAACTGCATGCCTCCGCGTGCGCGCACACACCCTTCTTGCCTCTAGGCTACCAGAGCTCACATATGTGTGTTTGTGTGTGCGCGCGCGCGTGTGTAGCTGTCCATCCTCCCGCGGCAGCTGCTGACCTCGAACCGCGTACCTCCATAGCGTGTGTGTAGCAGCTTCTTGCCTCTAGGCCACCAGAGCTTGTATGTGTGTGTAAAAAAATCTAAGAGAGCCTTTATTGTGTGTGTGTGTGTAAATCTTTTTGAGAGAGCCTTTACTTTATCATCTTCCTTTAGATCCTGATCTCTTTCCTCCCAGCTTCCAAGGCTATTTGAACCTGCTGTCCCTGTCAGAGGGAGCTCTGGTGGCCTAGTGGTGAAAAGCTGCACTGCAGTTCCAAAGTTATAGGGTTCAAAACCACCAGAACCTCCACTGAAGGAAGCAGGGCAATCTTCTGTGCAATTTACTACTTTTGAAAACCCACTGAATGGTTATCCAAGAGTTAGTTCTGACTGGATGGCACATAACAAATCCCTGTCAAGAGATCCCCTTCCCACACTTCAGACATCTCAACTCCCCACCCTGTCCCTTGACTTTTCCTTCAAGAGATCTCTCTTTACCTAGCATTCCCC